GCAATGCTACAAGCACGGTTTACTACTGCGTGACACAGTTTTTCCAGCATGACAGTCCGCGAGAGAGAGTGGCACGCAGTAGCCAACCTTTCTTTTGAGTCTTCTGGATTGCGGTATTTCATTCTACGGATGGACGCATGTGGTAGCCTCTATCATATATTGAGTTGCCTTGGTACAAGCAGGGTTCATTACTGCGTGACACAATTTCGCCAACATGTCAGTCCAAGAGAAAGAGTGGCACGTAGTAGCCAACCTTTCTTTTTTCCTCATCGAATGGATGACGGTATTTCATTCCACGGATGAACGCACTAGCCAATCATATGATTGAGGCACGTAGTAGCCTCAATCATACGCTGATCTGCCCTGGTACGGGCACGGTTCTCTACTACGTGACACAAATTCGCCAACATGTCATGCCGAGAGAGAGAGTGGCATGCACTAGCCAACCTTGCATTGACGACAACCAATAACATTTGCAGGTTGTGGGTGATGTTTGTCCACCACATCTTGTCATGTTTTTAGTGTGGGTAGTTGTATTTACGGTCACTGAGGCAAGTCACGGGTTGCAACAATCCTTGTCTTCTCATTGGTTTCCTATTTTCCTCTGCAAACTGTGATGTCTTCATACATCATGGTATTACACATTACATAGTTGCTCATTCTTGAATTAGACAATGATGAGCATTACAAGGGATTGTACAATGTTGTATCATAAATAAAAGAGCATATGTTGTACAGTGATTGTCAAACCGTGGTTCACAGTCATCATCGTCGTTTCTCTCTCTCTCTCTCTCCCTCTCTCTCTCTCTCTCTCACTCTCTCTCTCTCTCTCTCTCTCTCTCTCTCTCTCTCTCTCTCAAGCATGCAATGACAGTGATCTCCTGCAACTCTTGGTAGCATATTTCGTTATGAACCTTGTGATTCATACAAATGTGTTCCCCTCCCCTTCCTCGCCCACTGTTCAAGGCCTGGCACACATACTGTGTTTATCCCTCTTCCCATCTCTGCTTCTTTCACGAGGTAGTGCAATGAACTCCAAGTCGAAATCGTCATATGTTACCGTTATGTTATGTGGCCCGCTCATGTGGACAGAGGGCAGACCAACTCGAAATAAGGCAACGGCCTTCTCAGAAACAGATGCAGTGCGGTCCAACTTGAAGATCGAAAAGCTCATGACTGTGTCGCAGCTGCGGACAGATGATGCGATGTCGTGTTTTATACATGTCAATTTTTGTATCTGGTCGGCCGCTCTACTGGTCTTTGCTGTCTGCTCGATTTCACATTGCAGAACCATTTCTGCAAAAGCCAGTTGCTGCAGCGTCACGCCAAGGTTCGTGCCGTACCTTCTCATCTGGAAAACCTTTGTAAGTGCCGTCTTGAACGCTGGCGCGCGCCCCAAGGATCGTTGCCGCTCCGTCTCCATGTTTTGTCATCCTTCATCTCTGCTCGCATCTTGTTGTGAGTAGGGAGCTGGTGATCCGTTTGCTGCGATCGCACGAGTGGAATAACTTTTTCTGCCCAAAAACAATGCTTCAGTTGCCATGTTATCTCTCCACGCACTGTTGTCATCATTCTGTTGCACTCCCCTATCACCGCTCGAATCCCGCTCTCCGCTACGTGTGATCGCAGTCCTTCCTCCACATTCTCCCCTATTAGTCTTGTTGTTGTTTGCAGCACCGTGAAAAATCTATCCTCTTTTGGGTACAGTGTTGCGTCCTTCGCTGCAGAAACCGCAAAGGCTTTTGCGACTGAACGAAACAGTCTGTCCTTCATTTTCTTTGTGAAAACGCCGCTTTGTTGGTCGGCTTGTCTCTATCCTCCTCCGGTCGCGTGTGGTTTTCATTGCAAATTCGTGCCATCTGCTGGAAGACACACATCAGAACGCAAAAATGATATTAAAAACTCCAAATATCGCATCCAATTTCGTACCTGTGAAAATCGACAATTCAGTGAACAAAGCACAATAACTTCCTCGCATCATGGATATGCCAGTATATTCCGCCCTTATGACTGCGACTTTCTGCAAGGGGAGCAACTCTAGCACACTTTGCTCACCTTCTTGAATTTCGTTGTCCTTCCTCACTAGTGGTCTATCATTCGGGGGCATGTCGCGTGCGTCTCTCTCCTTGTTCTGCAATCGTTCGCTTGTGCATCGTGTTCTTTCCAAAGATGGTGAAATCTCTCTCTCCTCCGCGCCCCTCCCGTCTTCATCTGCCTCTTCGTCGTCCTCATCTTGCGCTATGTCGTCGCTGCTCCTCTCTTCCTCGTCATCGGTCTCGTCAGCATCATGAGAATCTCCACCGAAAGTTTCATTGTCACTTCCCTCGTCGCTCATTGCCTTGTCTTCCTCTCCGTCCGACTTTTTTGATATGGACTGCTCGTCTTCGTCTTCTGCTTCCTCTTGGACCGCTGTCGGGCGGCTGCCTACCAGCCGGGCTTTTTTTTCGAATTTTTGTGTCTGTTTGTGTCTATGTGACTGGTTATTTTAGCTTGTTTCGGGGTTTTGTCTACTTATGTTCGGGGGGTTTCGGTTGAATTTGGGTTTGCGAGGCGTATGCGAGGGGTTTGAGTGAGGTATGGGGGAACGGTGTAAAGGCGGCGAAAAGAGGGGGCTTGAAGATACCCGATTTCCCATCCACTGGGGTTTGGAGCGAAGCGGCGATGGTGGGTGACGTCGTCTAAGGATGAGGGTCGAATAACGACGGTGGGAGGATCCGTCAGCGGACGTCGGCAATGACTACTTCTACCACAAGTCTCTGCTACAATTATTAGGTGCCGACTCTTGCGACTAGGGGCTTCTGGATGGTTGTCAGAGCCACACCACACAACATACAATCGACTCGAAATTTGGAGGCTCGAGCGATGCATTGGCGGTTGGGCGTGTAGTGTTGACAAGTGGCTACTCAAGTAAGGTGGCATTGGTGTGGCCACTGTACCACCATGTGTGTACGTGTGTGTTAGAGATCTGGTAAAATGTGTATGCGCATGGGGTACTTGCGGGCGTGCACAAGAGCCAGACCGACCATGCGGCTTTGGTGTGCGTGCATGAGTAAATAAGCATGGGCGTGGGTAAGCTCAAACATGGATGTGCATGTGTGTCACGGTGCACGTGTGCGGGATTTTGAGTAAGGAGGTTTGTCGTCGCCAAAAGAGGCAGCTGAACTCGGTCAGGAGCCAGTGGCGAGCGCAACGGCGGCCTCGAAAAGGTTGAGTGGGGCAGGGCATTTTGAGATGGCCGACGTGGAACAACGAAAAAACATGGGAAAGGGGTCTGACCGTAGTCGAATGAGCGGCCAGATAGAGAGATTGCAGCGAAGGAGAAAGAGACGGGAAGTGCTGAGTCGAGGGGACGGATAGGTCCAAGAAGAAGGGCGCACTGGGCAGGAGAACAGGGCCAAACGCGTTGATCCACCACAAGCTCGGACTACGACTTCTTCAGCGGGGATCTGGACGTGATTGCGGCCAGGTTCTTCCCATTTTGGCCCTACATACGACCAGATACGTACAGGTGCAGCAATGCTTTTAAATTCGAAGGGCGAATGGGGGATGGAGTGAGCCTGGTGTGGAAAGCCAGACACCTACATGTGCTAAGATGCTACGCCAGAGGAGCGATCTGACCTTGAGATGCTGGCAGCCAGATGAGGAGGGGTATGGACCCACTGTGAGACTAGAAAAGGGATGTACCTTGCTTAAAGAAGGTGGGTGCAGATGAAGGTGGACAGGGGAGCTTGCAACGAATATGGCGGGATAATATTTATTTTCGCACCGAGTTGGAATCTGCTGCGTCGGGTCTGGGGGCTCGAGAAAAGAATGACGGGATTGGTGGAGGGCAAAGAAAGGAGGATCAAATCAAGTCTTCGAAAGTGGGAAGGAAGGAAAATTTTGAAAGCAAGCCATGGAAAGCGGGAAGGAAAATTTCAGAAAATTTCGGAGAGAACCGGTGGGATACGGCGGGTAAAATAAGAGTTTTGTGAAATTTTGGCTTTGGCGCCCGAACGGGGAGAATGAGAGGGAGAGGAAGCGGTTGGCGGAGGGGCGGCACAACCGCGGCCGACAGGGAAGCACCTGGTCCGAGACCGACCAAACGTACAAAAGGAGGAGAGGAGTAAAGAAGGGGGACTTTTTGCCTGGGAAGGCAAGGAGAGGGGAGATACAGCGCACGTAGCGGGGCACGAGCGCACGGTCCGGTGTGCGGGGAGTACACGGGGAGCTCGAGAGGGAGCACAGTGGAGAGGAGCAGCGCACGGAAGAAGGAACACGACGGCGAAGCAAATACAGTGCTCGGAGGGGAAGCGAACAGAGGGAAGGAGGAGAGTACGAGAAGAGCGGCCAATAACATCCAGGGCAGGGGAAGCGCACGCGGGGGAGACCTCACGGGAAAGAAGTGGGCAGCCAGAGAGATCGCGCTAGCATGATCGAACTGCGAGGCGACGGGATTAGCTCCTACGAGCCCCGTGCAAGCAAGACCGGACCACGTGCTGACGGGATAGCTACTATAAGGCCCGTGCAAGCGGGCGGCGCGCTACCAGTGGCGGGACTAGCTCCCCCGAGCCAAGCGCAAGTACGATCGGACCACGTGCTGGCGGGGTCCTCCCCTACGAGGCGCATGCTAGCAGGATCTAATTGCAAAATGGCAGAGCCCGCCCCTACGAGCCGCTTGCTAGGATAATCGGATTGCGCGATAGCGGGATCCTCCTCTACGAGCCGCACAAAGGCAGACCCCCGAGGGGCGAGGAGGCGAATCCAGGATATGGCCAGAAAGAGAGAGAGAGAGAGAGAGAGAGAGAGAGAGAGAGAGAGAGAGAGAGAGAGAGAGAGAGAGAGAGAGAGAGAGAGAGAGAGAGAGAGA